GTTTAAATAAATTGGTGAGAATGCAAATATGCCATCAGTTCCTCCTTCCCAGACTGTTTTACTGGGAGGGAATTGGGGACTGAGGTGAGCTCAGGAAATTATTCCAGTCTGAAATTCCTGTGCATCCCCTGTTCTGCCAAATGCTCTTCCAGCACCTGCGGACAGACTGAGGATGGAGTTCGGTGAAACAAAGATATATGGGTTGCAGTTTTATGCCTTATTAAGCACCTTGCTAAACAAACTTTTCATCTGTTTCCCATCAGAAATTTGATTAAATGCAAAAGATCATCTGGAGCGAGGATTCTGACATGCAGACAAGAACTCCTACTTACTCTTGTCTGTCTTCTTTTTAGACTGCAAAGCATCAGCATCTTCTGCGTCCCAATGTCATCAGGCCTGCGGCTCAATGGCAGGGTGCAAACACTGTGGGAGAAGGAGGATCTAAAAGCGCTGTCGAGCCCTTGAAGGGCATATATCTGCAAGATGAGAACTCAGCTCTGCTGTGCCAGGGAGACCGAGATAATCACATGGTAGAGAGCAATGCTGGACCAAGTAGGGATGAGAATATGAACTTTGCCTTGCAGCAGCCTGGACCGTCAGAACTTACTGGCCCCAGGTTTGAACTTACAAGTAACCAGGAGCCTGGCCCAAGTTTGATTCCAGCAATAAAGACGAGTCCGCAGCCTGTTGTTAACAGAGAAGGCGTTAGTCTGGAGAATGCAAGTCTTCTACCACAACAGGAGGAAAAGGTGGAAGCCCAGGGATGGCAAGGAGAGGACTTAGAGCCAAAGCAAAATGTCGGAGGAACAGCTGCTGCGACTACCACAGACCGGGAGATCCATGAGAACAGCCAGCTGAGTCACTCGTACTTCCAGCCGTTGGAAGGTGAGCCACATGCTGCAGTAAATGGTTGTGCTCCTCAGCAAGGGCAGCCTGAAGCAGACTCAGGATCTCTGAGGGCATATGGAGAAGAGGCTCCCGGGCCAGCCTTCCCCCGACCTGAGCCACAGCAGGATGGGATTCCAGGTCCTGCTTCTCCCCAGCTGGCGCATCCACCAGAAGAAACAGGTCAGCAGGCAGAGAGAGACAATGAAGAGCCAGGTCCAGCATTCCCCACACAGGGGTCTCATGAACTTGGCTCTAGTAATGTTCCAGAACAAGGAGCTGCTGGGCAGGACCAAGACCTCACTGCGCTGCTCATCAGAGAGACAGTAAGTGTTCCCAGGGCTTGTTTGCCTTCAGTGTGCATGCTATTTTCAGACAGGTTTTTCAAGGTGTGTAGTGTTTCACATGCTCAAAGCACAGCTCTGTTGACTTCAGCTGCAAATCCTCTTCATTTTGGCTGAGACTCAGCTGTGTACTGGGTGAAGAGCGTGCAGTGAACTGTCTTGGAGAACTTCGGTTTGAAAGACTAACCCCAGCACTATGGCAGAGGTGGTGAGAGAATGTGAATCTTGCGAGATTTAACAGAACTTGATTGCAGGGTCTCAAGGGCATGCACAGTGAGGTAAAATAATACGGATCTGTTGCCTTAAAAGCTACTGCCCTCTCAGTTCTGCTTGTTTGTTTTTGTCTGGCTAATTCCTAACCCAACTGTGTAGAGCTGGCTTAGGGATGGATGTAGAGCTAAACGAGCAAAAATGAGACACTAAACACTAGTAGAGGGGTGAGTTAGAGAATGCTTAGAGACAGATGGCTGAGAGCCATGGCTGCTTTCAGCTGGCTTTTCTAGAATACTTTGGTGCATGGCCATATAACGGCTGCCATGGTGGTCAGGGCTTGCCCTTGCAGTGTGGATTTCCAAGCAGTAGCACTGAGGAATTACTGCATAAGCAGAGTGAAGACTTGTGTATGTTAACTTCTCACGCTCCTTTCTGACTCTCCATATGAAGCTTGCCGTGAGGGGCACTAGCTACAAGAACCGAACCACCAAGAAGCTTACTCCTTAACCTTTGGTGTGTTCAGCAGCTTGGGCAACATGGTGTGTATTTAAAAAACAAAACAAAAGTAGTGATGCTTCATGTGTCTAGTGTTTTCCCCTCCAGTGCACACTCTTCCCCTTGACTGCTGGGGAGGAAGGGTCTCTCTTGATGCCTTATGGAGTACTTTTTGCAAACAAGTGTATTTTACTGCATCTGTATCTTATACCACCACCATCTCCCCCTCCAAGTCTTCCCTGATATCTGATTCTATTTGGGGAAACTGGGGTTGAGGAAAATATTCTTCAAGTAGCAATCCAACAAAATTCAGTTCTTTCCAACTGAGACAGTGTTGATCAGTGACTTGCTTTGAGATCGGCAAGTCAGGGTTGCTTGACAACCCTGACCAGTCCAGTCTTGCAAAGCAAAATATACGGTGCAATTGATGCACCATATGTGTACAGAATGTACAGACATGTACAGAAACCCAACAAAAGAGAGCAGCAAAGGGTGCTCTTTGCTATGTGGTGGCTTTCACATGCCAGTAGAGGTTTTGTCTGCTCTGATTTCATTCCTAGTGTGTCTGGGTGCTTTGGTTGGGTATATGTATTGTTGGGTTTTTTCCTTCTGCTTTGGAATGTTGCATTCAGCACACAGTCTGGAACTGTTTAATCTTCTGTCTGAAGGTAAATATTAGCTTTTCTTCTGCTGTAGATCATACCTACTCACCTCTCTTCTTTCTATTCAGACTGAATCACTTGTTAGGCTAGCTGCTCATGGCCATTCACACCACTATCCATATTCCTCTTGTGAGAAAGAGCTGTTAGCAATCGTCTTGCGGAGCAAAGGAAAGCCAGCAGCTTGCAGTATCCAGGCTGGATGGATATAAATGGTCTCTTGAAATCCGTTTTGGCCCTTATCTCGGGAGCGTGCTATATAATTACCTATAAATCTGTCTTTGGTGCTGTTGCTAGGTTGTGCTACACAGCTCCTCTAATACCTGCGTAACCTTTAGCTTTTCCTACTGTAGGAAGCAAGATTCCCAGATGTGAAGAAGGAATATATTGAACAGCTAATCTGCATCAAGAACTGCTATGACTTAAATGTGTAAGTATAGAGCTAAGAGCCAGGGTGTGTCATAGAACAGTCTGGCTGCAGTCACATTTCCATTTCCCCACCTGCTAATGGTGCTGTTCTAGAGGATATCCAGGCTGGGAGTCAGCACTGTGTTGGTAGTGCCAAAGAGCAGAGAAATTTTTTTTTCCCTTCTAATAGAGCTTTTTTTAAATGCTCTCTAATTCTGACATTGTGTTGTAGCTTCTCTGCTTTTAAGATCCTTTGCTTATTTAAAGGTATTATATTACATATAATTTCCTCTTAACTATTACTGGGGTTCTTAAAAAGGGTGAGTGTCAGGATTAAGGTATTGAGATGACTTCTATAAAACATAGTACGAAGATGGGTTGATGAGTTTTTTGAAGTTTTGAGTGAGTTAAGAAAATAGTTTCCTGCCTCTTCATTTCACTGGCTTTTGGCTTTTTCCAGGTAAAGTTGACGCTGTTTTGGACTCCCTTGTTTAATGTCATGATGTTAGCTTTTGTCCCCTTTACTTAATCAAGTAGCAGTGGTACTGCTTGAGTTCTCTCTCATCTCATTGCACATACAATAAAGCAAACACATTTAAGGGCAGGTAGCATTGATTCTGGATATCTGTTGGTGGACTGATTTTGGTCAAACTGAGCAGAAATGTGAGCCAAGAAGGGGAATAAAAGGAGTGGCAAAGCAATGTGAGGACTGTTGCTTTCTTAATTGTGTTAACAGCTCAAGAATACCTTAGTGTTCATCATGCTTGATACCACTGGGAGTCATGTTAGAATCAAAAGTTTAAAAAAAAAAAAAAAACATGAACCTTATTGATAAGCTGCATCATCTCCCTACTCTTTTGGGTAAAACTTGCAGAGCTGAAGAGTGAAGGATTGCGTGTGTTGGCACCAGCAACACAGAGGGGAGTGTGGTTTGAAGTAAATCACTTGTGACTTGTGTCTGATGCTTAGGTGGCCCCTTTCTCTCTCTGCAGCTGTCACTGCTATCTCAAACATGTTGTAACTAGTTATTATGTGATACAAGAATGAAAAATAGGTTTGGTTGCCAGAGTATGCATTCTATCTTGTATGAATCCAATGCCCTTTCCAGTTAACTAGGGCACTAATTAAGCAGTATTCAAGTGCGTGAGGCTTAGAATTAGTTACTGGACCATAAATGAGTTAGCTGGCAAGGGACTAAGGATGATCCCACCCATTGGGCCCAGATTTCCTATTCTGCTGCCCTTGCCCATGTTGTGAAGTCATGTCTCCAAAATAGAGCTTCTTGGTTAGAAATTTATCATTCTTTCTTGTCTTTTTGAAAGCGCTTTCCCTGCAGCGGTGGTGTGGGCAGCACGAGAGAAGCTTTCAGGTGCCCACAACACGTACTTGGTGCACCTCGACATGGATGGTTGCGTTGGGAGTGTAGGAGACTGGTAGGGCCATTCTTCAGGGTGATCAGGCCATTGAAATCGGGCATCTGGCTGCAGGACCCTCTCACAGATTGTGTGAAAAAACTTGTTATTGTGTCCTGCAGGGATTTAGCAAAGCCTGATAGAATTAAATCCCAGTATCGGCTTCTATCAGTCTTAATGTGTTCCTTCCCTTTTTGCTCCCGAAATCTCTTCTCTCCTATTGTGTGCCACAGACCCAGTGAGATGAAAAGGTGCTTACAGGCATCCCTGTAGGCCATCTACAGTGTCTGCTCAGCGGTGCGTTACCCACTTACTGGATGATAAAGATTTCTCCTCCATATTTTTATTCCTTTAACCAAACTATCTTTTGAGTTGTCACTGTGTCTTTTGTATTAGAACAAATGGGTCAAAGCACTGGTCAGCCTCGCTGGCAGGGTCTCTTTGATCTCCACGGCATGTCAAGCTGAATGAGGCTTGAAATATAATAAATAAGGGTGGCTGGCTTTGGGCAGGGATGAGGCTTTTAACTGGCTCTGTGTCCTGTGGTGCAGATATTAATGAACAGTGCTGCAAGTGTGCGTGCATTGCGCGCTGGGACCCACTTAACTAATTGTCAGACACTGAAGGTTAACATCCCTGAAAATCCTGAGCACTCAAATGGCAGCATGCAGAATAGTTCCAATGTATTCTGACTGTGCCCCAGCTGAAACCCTTGCGTTTGAGCTGCGGTGATTTGAGCTCCTTGAAGTTTCTGTTTTGTCGGATTAAAACGGTTATCTCTTACAAAAAGCGTGGGGAGGAGGCCTGGAAGCTATTAAGTGCACAGTGCCAAGATATTTTGTTGTTTTCCAAAATGAGTGTCTTAAAACTTTCAACCCATGTGAAAGATAAGATGTGGGAGCTCCTCTTAGCAGGGTATCATCTATTCAGCCTTTGTGTGCAGGAGCATTCAGTCTCAGTCAAAAGCTTCTGGCTCAATATGTCAATACCTGATTAAACAAAAAGAAATGCCTCTGCTTTGAACGTGAAAGCAGGGCTAAAGTAATCGTGCCTTGATAGTGGGTTAATGCTTCAAGCCAGTTCAGATTTCTTAATTAGGGACTGATTTCTGACATCAGGAATGTAAATTAGCTGCAATTATGTCTTTGCTGCAACCTAGCACCTTCTCATTCAGAAAGTTTTACAAATGTTAATTGCTTGTCCTAGCTCCTTTCAGAAGGATATTATTCTACGGCTGGGGAAACTGAGGAACAGCTTATGTTATTTGACCCAGCTAGCACAGCTGGTTAGTGATGGTTCAGAATAAGCTGTGAAAGTCTGATTCAGAGAGAGAGCCTACAGCAAGCTTCCCTTTCAAAAGGGCTTCTGAAGCATTTGTGGATCTCGAGCAATGGGGTATACTGAAACTACTTGCTAGGGTCTTTCCTAAGCCAAAATATTCAGATTAAATTTACCTGACAAAATTCTGATTGTTTGTGGTAGGACCTCGGGTATGCTGCATATACGCTAGGGTCTTTTCTAAGCCAAAATATTCAGACTAAATTTACCTGACAAAATTCTGATTTTTTGTGGTAGGACCTCGGGTATGCTGCATATACAGGCTAATATGCATTTTTAAAGGTGATTATTTTCTAAATGCTGTTCTTACTAGACCAGTTATAGTGTGACTTGAACAATACTGGTGTGATTTCAAGCTTTATAACAATGAAACCTGTATTCAGAGTATGTATTGTATGCAAACACAGTTTAAACATGTTTCTGTCTCTGCTCTAATGTGAAAGTAGATCAAGACTGGAGGCTTTAATTCAAATTTGAATCTGTAATTTTCCATCGAGGAGGACTGCAACCTTTCACAGGTTTTGCAGGGGTTTGCATCTATGGAAAAAGAAGCATTTGTATTAGCTGCAGTAGATGGCAGCTGGGTTTCGATTAATGCTGTGATTGTTTGTTCTTGTATGGTCCTCATAACATTAATTCCAGAGTAGTGGAACGTTAGTACACCTTGACTCTTAGTTGTTCAGGATTTGACATGTGCTCAAAGGAGGCAGCACTTTACATGGCCCATGGGTGTGAGTGGGGAAATAAGCCTGCTTGTTCACCTCCGGCATGTAGAGATGTACGTTGGTTAGTAGTTCACCCATACAAGTTTCTTTTATGTAAATATAATAACTGAAAGACAAGCCTATTGCTTTGTCCTCTGCAGTCATACAGCTGATCATTCTTCACTTAATTCTCAGTTGTTTACTTTCAGTTTGCTCTAGTCTGAGACCTCCCTTGGTCCTTACAGGACAAGCTGAGGCTTGCCTGCCCAGCCTCATAATTATAGGATACTAAAACCTGGACAAGTGAGGAATGAACCTGAGCTTCCAAAACTCCAAAGTAACTATATTTATCTTTTTAGACTTTGTAACTTTCTTCTGGAAAATCCAGATTACCCAAAGAAGGAAGGCAGAGTGCTCTTAAATCCCAGCAGCAGCCTGCTCGCCAGCCAAGATGAGACCAAGGCAAGTGAGAGTATCCTTATCTACAGCATGCCTCCCATCCAGTCTGTTCGACCTGAGCGGATCTTGGGATGTCTGGTTCTATTAGTGCATTTTTTTAGAGTGCCTGGATGAACCATACCCAGGCCTCTGGGTGCATTTAAGGTGGTACTAAACAGCACTAGTTAATTGCTTGCAAGAGACTTTCTGTTTTGCTTTTGTGTAGCTGCACCATGTCTGCTCTTTTGCCTTCAGCGAGACCCTCTGCCCTGCCTGCCTGCCAGCTACCCCGTCTGAAGTGTTCATTTTGATAACTGGTACAAGTATTCCCTGGTCATTCTGTCACATGTGGTAGATTTGGCTCTCAGGCCTCTCTTGCGTGGCCTTTAGGCATTGCCTTTCAGCCTTCTAACTGCAAATCTCCCTACAACTTCTTGATTTTATTAATTTATTATGTCATTTGACAAAAAATTCTCTCTGAGCCACTTTGAGTATGTTGAAATAACTGTATGTGGCCTGAGAGAAAGAAATGCCAGATACCTCTTTCTACTCTTGAAAGCATCTCTCAACCTCAAGCCAATAAAGTTGTTCACCCTTTATAGTAACCTGAACATATCTTGTCCTTGCTGTCTTGTGCATCCACACACAGTGGCTTTAAACTGTGTGGCGTGGGTCCTGCCAGGAGCAGAGCTGCAGTGTGGTGCAGCTCAGGGCAGGTTACCCGCACGAGTGCATAGACCAGTAGGCTTCACACCCATGCTGTCCTCAAAACTGATGGTTAGATATGTGGTCAGAACTGGGTGCCACGTAGCCTGATTTTTGGGTGGTCTTGCAGAAGGTCTTGATCACTGAAAGAGTGGTTTGGGGTGTTCTTGTGTGTATTTGTAGCAATCTTTATCTTTCACATTTTCTCCTTAGGTGCCTAAAGTGGACTACTTCGACTTTTCCAAACTTGCCCCGCTTGATCAGCGGTGCTTTATTCAGGCAGCTGACCTCCTTATGGCAGACTTCAAAATGCTGAGCAGCCAAGACATCAAGTGGGCACTACATGAACTCAAGGGACACTATGCAATCACACGAAAGGTTCTCTGGTTCAAGTCTGTTTTCCTTCCTAGGGTTATCTCCTGTGTCTGTGGCGAGCAGCACGATGTCTTTTGCCTTACTGTACCATCTGCTAGTGTGTGGTTATGTTTTTTTTTAATAATTTTCCTTTCCTTTTAAGAAGTATTAATCCATTTAGGATTTGCAAAATTTATTGGCCAGACAGAATGCTGCAGGAAGTTTTTACTTTTGCCTAATAGGAGAACTGGGGAAACACTAGCTAGGTGATGCATTAAACTGAGAAGTGTTCCTGTAGGTTGCCGCTGAAGTGCAGTATAATTGCCAATAAAGCCTAGACATTTCGCTAAATCTTAAAACATTTTAACTGCTGCTATTAGTTAACTGCCTGCATGTAACTGAAAAGAAGCCCAAGTCTCACTATCCTGTTTCTTCTTATTATAACTTGTAGAATGAGTCCTATATTCCCTGTAAAAGAGTTTCACTGTAATGGAGCTGCAGAGACACTTGTCTTAAGTGTCAACAAACTGAATGTAAATGTGGCTTCAAGCTTTTGACTTGGATCTACTCCTCTGATATGCTCCTCTTGCTTGAGCTTCTTTCTCTACTATTCCAGGACTTAACTAAAACAAAAACCCCTTGTCTCTTCGCTTGCTTGATTCAGCACTATTGGAGCTTCTTTTTTTTTTCTTTTTGGAAATAAAAAAACCAAGCCAAACAACAAGAAAAAAGCCAAACCAGCTCTCTTGCATCAGAGTGGACACCAGCTGTATTAGAGTTAATGGCTGAGGTGGTGTGAAGTATTGTTCAACTATGGTTATTATGGAGTGATTGCTTTACGAGTACGTAAAGGAACAAGGTGGACAAAGGAAAGAGGTATACTTGCCTCTGAGGTGTTTGGCTTTCCAGTTTTGGATCAGTCTTATGCACATGTTTGTACTATGCTTCAGTTAGAAGTATGTGCTCCTGCTTCCTTCCAGGAACAGAGAGGATTGAAGTCTGTGTGGTGTTTTCTAGGCCTTTTCAGATGCTATCAAAAAATGGCAGGAGCTGTCTCCCGAAACCAGTGGCAAACGAAGAAGGAGGAAAGAAATGAATCAGTATTCATATATAGACTTCAAATTTGAGCAAGGTAAATAACAAGCTGTGTGTATTGTTCTCTGTGCATCGTTATTGTAAGCAGAACTGTCTTGCAGTATAAAGTACTGATCTTGAAAAGGGATGTGGTCCCAAAACAGCTATGTTTCTGTCACTGTTTGGTATCTATTTTGGAGATATTCTTCATTAGTACCTCTGCTTGGTACAGTACTGTCTGAGATGCTGTCGTTATGCAGCTGGTGGTGGGTGGAAGAAGAAGGATTTAAGCTTTATTCTGGCTACTCCATCATGTTTCATTGTGCCTTTAACTCTGCTTTAGGGGATGTGAAAATTGAGAAGCGCATGTTCTTCCTGGAGAATAAGAGACGGCACTGGAGGACCTATGACAAGCTCTCTCTTCTCCCACCGGTGCTACTGGAGCAGGAGTTCTATGAGCAGAAAGTTAAAGAGATGGCAGAGGTGGGTGGTAGGAGCTGCTTTGATCTTGTGGTGCAAACGACTTCGACTGCTGTAGAGGTCTTGGCCCTAAGCATGGAAATCTGCCTCTTGGAGAAATACAAACACGGAACAAAATGTTGAATAGCTGACTACCTTTGCCCCTATACTACCTGTTAACATGTATGACTCTTCCCAAGTAACTCGCTTTTGCAGGAAAAAACCAAGCACCGCGTTTCATATTTACTTAAATATATAGCTGCCACTTTTGCTTCTGAAAGCCTTCCATATATCCATTAATGTCAATGTATAGTCCATGATACAAAACTGTTCTGGACCTCTTTTTGCTACAAAGTAGTAAAAGCTTTACTAATTAATTATTTCCTCTAATTGTTAGCAGGCTTCTCTGCTGCTTCAGGGCTTGTAATCGCAGCTCAGTGTTGGTGGCTAATCATGACCAGGCCCAAGGCAATCTGTCCGCTCGCTCTGCCTTCCACAAGTTGGCAGACCTGTGTCTCCAGAACATCTTGTCCTGTGCTGAGGACCGTGCGTTTCAAAGCAGAATCATGCAGCATCCGCTGCTGTGTTTGTCTTCCTCTTGTAGTCTGAGGGAAGACTGAATTCACAGCCCTGCACCTACAGTCCTTTCTAAAGTAGCTTCTTAAGATCCTGTCTCTTAGGCAGGTGGATAGTGTCTCCTTTTAAACACAAAGATAACATTCCTTGGGGCTTTCTCTGGAGGGGCCCACTGGGTGAGATCACCTCTGCCCATGGAAACCTGAACCAGCAGCCCTCCATAATACAGAATTCGGTTATTTGTTCTTGCTGCCTTTGCTTCTCCCATCTGTTTTAGCTGAATCATAAATAGTTTAATGGGTTGGAAGGATGGGCTGAGTGATGTTGTAAGCAGACTGTTCCTTTTATGGTGGTTTGTAAGTCTTGAGATAATGTAAAAGAGTGTAGAGGCTGGAAAATTGCTTTATCTGTTCTGTAACTACATATGCACATGTCTCACTTGCAGCATGCAGACTTTCTCCTTGCTCTGCAGATGAATGAGGAGCAGTATCAGAAGGTCAGTATCTATAATGTGGTCCCTTGAGTTCAGCTTATGCATTAGACACTGTTTTGCACTTTCTACTTTGCAGACTTTTTTGGCTTCTGGAATGGAGCTTTTCTGAAGCAGCATTTGCACTGTGCTGCTTTTGCTGAGCTGACAAAACCTGCATAGTGTGTGTTGGCTGACTTTTAGAAAAGGTAGACAAGAAGCTGAGACCAGCAAGACAGTATTGATGCATGTAATGATCTGTAGTAATTTGGTCCGCTGCTGCTTGTATCTCTGTTGGCCAGAACAAACACTGCAATAGAATAGTACCAGGCTTGCTCTTGCTACCACCATTGTGGCAGTTTGAAACAGATTTGCTGTTGCTGGAGCTCTGCCAGTGGAAAGGCCTTCCCCATTTGCAGAAAGGACTCTTTAAAAACCTGAAAATCAGGTCTTCCCCTTTAAACAAAGAGAGAAAAGTTAGAAATCAGTTTTGGCAGCTGTGGATTACCTTTTTGTTCTCAATGCCTGTTTCTTCACAAACTTTGGAGAAGATGTTGGACCCCTGAAGAAGTGGGCATACTTACTTTTTAACAATGGCAAGCTTTTCCACCCCTGCAGTGAAGAGGCCAAGACAAGGTGTCTCCAGGCAGATGGGTAAATGTTCCTTTAGAGGGCAACAAACCTGAAGCTTGGTTTCCCCCCATATGAACGGTGTGTACTGTGCTGCTTCCCTGCGATTGCAGCTTCTCTGCCTGTGAGCTAAGAATTATTAAACGCTGGGTGTTCTGTAGCTTTTTGGAACCTGTCAAGCAGGACATGTAGATATTAAGTTACTTAAAACTGAGTTTCTGGTTGTGCTTAGTGCGTTTTGACCACCAAATAGGATATCTAATGGAATGGTGTATATCTGTTGCTCTCTTTTAGAATTAATGCTGGCATTGTATGTGGTTTGCAGTTGTATGTGTCTGTATGTTGCTATAGCTATTGATGCTTTGATGATGATGCTAATACTTCTGTTTATGGCTGCAGGATGGTCAGATGATAGAGTGCCGCTGCTGTTATGGGGAGTTTGCGTTTGAAGAGCTAACTCAGTGCGCAGATGGTCACCTGTTCTGCAAGGAGTGCCTAATTAAATATGCTCAGGAGGCAGTCTTTGGCTCTGGGAAGGTAAGAATTTCCCAACTGGGAGATTTTCCCAACTGAGAAATTTCCTGAGGGGAAAATGGGTAAACTGCTCTTGGGAGATCACATTGTTTGTGTAGTGTTGTTGCTTAAATCATATGTAACTGCATTTCCCAGGAAATATTTGAATGGAATTGTGTCCTGAAATCCAAATCCAAGTCAGTCTCACCGTCAAGTGAAGCCAACAATTTCACAGTGGGATCTTTGCTGAATAGGGTTTCAGTTTTGCTAACCTCCATCTTGTGCTCTGTGCTTAGCAACTTGAATTATTAGGAAAACTTTCTACAGCATTCATAGTAACAACAATAACTTGCACTTGTCTGTTTTTTTAATTTTCTACTTAATAAACCAATGGTATCTGCGTAGAGGACACACTCTTATCTCTGACTTGGCCAGTCATCTTCTAGCTAAGAGTGTTTGTCCTTCATAATATCACTGTGATCCCAACTTAATTTGTGGGTTGGTTTCTCAATGATACTGCTAACCTTAGTCTCCAATTTAGCTAGCAATTATCATAGTACTTCGCTGACCTATGAGCAAGTCATTAACCTGCTCTGAAGTATGCATGCTCCTTTGCCTCGAGATGTGGTGATCAAACTGTGGGATGCTTTTGTACTCTGGGCTCCATATTTCATGTAAACATATAAACTGGCAGCTGTATTTAATATGACTATATTGACAAGGATGCAACATGCTGTTGATGAGCAGAGACCATACAGTAATAACGGGCTGCTGTGTGGTCGCAGTGGACTTTGAGTGACTGAATTGTGATTCCAGGTATCAACACATCTTTATGCCCAGTGTTTGTTTGAGGCCTGATCTGTTTGAGTAGCTAGTCTTGGTCTTTCCATTGCAAACCCATTCTCTGGCAGTCATCTGCTGACTTAAGCTCTATTCTCTCTAAGCAAGGCTCTGTGCTAGTTTACTTGGAAACGTTCTGGGTACTGAGTCTTGCTTCTTGCTGGTATTGTACTGAATGTGAGTTCTCTCCTTCCAACCCTAGTCAGAGCTCAGCTGCATGGAAGGCAGTTGCACGTGTTCATTCCCCACCAGTGAGCTGGAGAAAGTGCTTCCAGAGAACATCCTCTGTAAATACTATGAACGGAAAGCTGAGGAGGAGGTGGCTGCTGCCTGTGCAGATGAGCTCGTCAGGTAAGTGTCCAGCATAGGATGTAGACTGCACTTAAGATTGTAGAAAATGGTTCCCTGGAACCCTAAATGTGTGCTGACTGTGAGATTGGTAGCTTTCAGAGAGCTGTGTTATAAATTCAGGCTTCTGCCTTCCCAGGTCTGTTTTTATTCAGGTTGGTCTGCCTTTGACTAGGAGCAGATTAAAATTCAATAGACTTGTCTCCCCCAAGACTTGCTTGCCAGCTCTGTGCTGATCCTCTAAATTACATGGTCAAAAGCAGTGCTGAGCATATAATATTTTGATTGCAAAGAGGGAAGTGATCGAAGAAATATGAGCAAAAAGGCAGTAGTCAGCACATCCTGGTGGCAGGCATTTAGTTGGCAGCCTTGTTAACTACCACATAGCTATTTGACTAGATCCGCTTTCAGCAAAGATAGTTTGGCACCCTACATTAATGGTATTTTATTTTGGGCTGCAGGTGTCCATTCTGTAACTTCCCAGCTCTACTGGACAATGATGTGAAGCGGTTGAGCTGCCCTAATCCCCGCTGCAGAAAGGTAATTGGGGGATACTTGCCATTTGGTCTCTTCTGGTATGTTGGGCAGGAGAGCTGGGAGGACAACTCACACTTCCTAGTAGCAGGTGAATGAATATCTAATGTGGCTGTGTGGGGCAGTGGTGAAAGTATTTGCTGGATCCTGATGATGATCTATAAAACTGTGTGGCTGGACAGACGAATTTCAGGGAACTATTGATAAAGACAACAATATTGCTTTCTTTCCTTGGAAGAGGTTGGCTAAAAAAAGCTGCTAGATGCTTTAGGTTGCTGTCTTGCATATACAGAAATGTTTTAGGTAAACAGGGAGCTGGGTGTTTAAAAGGCATAAAACAAAATTGTAATCTTTTATCTAATGAAACTTATGGAGAATGAGCTGAAACAACCTTACGTGCTATCCTTAAGAGAATTAGCATTTGCATTTTTCTTTTATGCTGCTGCCTGAACACCGATTCAGTTGGAAGTGACAAAAAACTTGTTTGAAGAGTTCGCTGAAACGTGTCCATTCAAAGGGCAGAAGATCTTTGTGCTTCTCTCGAAGTTTGCTAATAGCCATAACGGGAGAATCGTCAGGCCCAATGGGGGGACGGAGTGGGGAAAACTTGCTGCTGCTACTTCTGCACCATCTGTTCTGGGGAAAAATAGAAGCATAGAAATGTGTTTTACCAATCTCCTGAATGTATGCAGAACCCTGCTTACATCTGGTGCCAGTGAGCCAAGGCCAGTACAGTATCAGTTTAGCACTGAAGCTACAAGGCGTCTTGCGTAACTTTAGCCACAACAATGAGTTCTCGTGCAATATTCAGGGAACTGCCTGTCCCCCAGCAGAGATTTCTGCTAATCACTGAAATTCCTCTTGAGTACATTAACCTTATGCCTGTAGCAGCCATAGCTTTGGGTTCTCGTGTTGATGTGATACTACCATTTGCCTGTATTGAGAAAGTAATAGGAAATCAAATTCCGTTGTCTGGAAAAATTGAAGTGGCCAGCGGTGAACTTTGCATTCTGTAGTGAAAATTAAACTTACTGGCAGGGGAAAGCTGCTTATGAAAGATGCACAATTCCATTTTGGATGTCTAATCTGCACGTATGTTTTGCTAATGTCCACCTCTAGTATTTGGGAAAGAAATGGGATTCTGGTGGATCATCCAAGTGTCATGAGCAAGGGGGTTTGCTAGTCGCTAGGTGGCAATGTTGTTTTACATTTAATTCTCCCCCCCCCCGCCCCGAGTTGTTTTCTGAATGTACATGTCAGCATTACAGAACAAAATTCAGGCTTGAACATGAACGCTTCAATGTGCAAAATGGATTGAAGTAGCTTTTTTTTCCTAAAATGTGTAATGCAGTGCAGTAAATGTGGTTAGAGGGGTCAGTACTGAAATGTTACTTTCCTCTGGCTTGCTGTTTCATTTCCTTCCTAGTGTGCTGCCTTTCCCTCCTCCCTGGGGTTGCAGCATTCCAGTGGGCTGGATTCCTGGTTTCCTGGACAGCTTGTGTTAATTCATTAGCTGAAAATCTGCTGAGTAGTTTTGTGCTCTTCTGAGAAGTCTTGAATGACTTTAGGATTTGAAGTTGAGGGTGAGGAATTCAGCTAGCAGGATGTGGTGTTGTCTCACAGCATCAGCTGCAGTGATTCTTCATATTCCTGCTATCTTGCCTCTCTTCAGAATGAAGGATTTCAGTTAATGCTCTTGCTTGCAGGAAACTGTTGCCCTTAGGGAGGAAAGGGCTAATCTAGGGAACTCTACAGAGGTTGGAGAGAATGCATTGGCTTTGCTAGCAGTGCCTCTGGCAGCCTCGGTGGTGGTGATGACTGATCCTGGAAGGAGTCCCTCTCTGGTTGGAAGGACCGTGCTTGCACAGCTGAACCTGAAGTAAGGGGAAGTGTGGAAAGGGAGAGGTCAAAATGTGCCTCTTCTGGAACCTCAAGGCTCTTCAAGGGTGGGAGAGGAGGACCAGATGGTGGACCTGTTGTATTTCTGTGCTCCATCACCTGGATCCTTTGTCTTGCTTTGAGAGTTCATGTTGATACTCTCAGGCTTTACTTTAAATCTTGCAGAGAGGTTGATTCATATTTGGGCCAGCTATGGATGTATTGTAAAGTCAGTGATGGGAGCCAGCTGGAAGCCTTCATTTTGGCTGTATATATGTATGTTGGGTTCAATAATAAGAACTCTAGGCACACCCAGGTCAATGCTTATGCCTCTCACCTGGAGTACCAGTCATTTGCACCTTGCAGGGACCAAAATGTGGGTAATTGTAACCTCAGCAACGGGCAGAGCTGCCGGTTGCCTTCTGTGACTGAACGGCTGCATGGAGAGCATGCAGATGAGGCTCCACCATCTGCCAGGGCCACTGTGGCTCCAGCTGTGTGGCGTGAAGTTTGGCTCCTAGTTAGGTGGCCAGGGCATGAATCTTAATGCCACAAACTGCAGGGTGGAGGAAAAGCTTAATAAGCCAAGGAGAAACGTTGCCCAAGCTACCCGATGGATGTGTTCCCTGTGTGTGCAGTCTGAGCTGGTGCTGGGGGAGAGGCAGCTTTTACTCAGACTCGTTTGAGTTTTCAGGTTTAGCTCTGTAACGGGTCGCTGACCGTGCATGGAGCCAGGCTTCCCGGCGGCAGGAGGGCTTGCCAGCCTGCTGGGTCAACCTCCATCTTATTCTGCGCAGGGATCCCTGCGTGGAAGCGGCGCTTGAATTTCTCATCTCTAATGATGCGTGTTTCTCCTCCCTGTGCTCTGACAAAGCAAACCAAAGCCGGCAATTCTGGTAAAACTTGGAAATGCACATGTTACTTGATGACTTGTGCAGCACTGGGAAGTGAGGGTGCACTTCTGCACGCTGGGTACTATTTCTCACCAGAAAAGGAAGCCCATCCCTTCTGCTCTGCCTCCCTCCTCCCGAGACCCCACATTGTTGGTGAAGACAAGGCCTTTGTTCCCAGGCTGCTTGCTGCTATCCCTGGCGTGGTGTTGCGGGTGGGGGAGACAGTCTCCCTTCTTTGCAGTCTCAGCACAAAGCACTGCAGGGCTTTCAGCCAGTGAAGAGATGGGGAGGTGAAAGCTGCTGTTGCCATGGAAATGGTGCATGCACGGAGCAGTGCTGTCCCTCCGGTGCCAGAGAGCTCGAAACCCTCAACACTCATTTCATAGCCAGGCTACATTGCAGGCACTTGCGTTTCCAAGACTTTTCCATAAAACTCCTCTGCATGGCTTAAAATTTTTGTGACTTTGTTGTACTGAGTTGTTGTCTGCCTCGGCGCTGGCTGGACATGAAGCGGTGATGGCGTATTGCTGCACGGTGCTAAATTGTGTTGCCCTCGGACTGGGCAGCTACCCCTCTTGTTCAGGGCTCCTTAGTGCACCCCGTTAATGAGGCTGTTTAGGGAGTGGGTTGACCTGCTGGGCGTCTGAACCGTCACGCTGGGAAAAGGAGCATTGACGTGCCTGTGTCAGATGGATAAAATCTCCAGTCTTTTGCCTTTTTGTCTTTTTGGGTTAGGCTCTCTGGCCACAGCAGTCCTGGTGTGTGCTTTTAATTTGCAGGACTAAGACATGGTATTTTAGGGGACTTCTTTTTAGTCTCCTAGAATGTCTCAGGATTGATTTCAAGGTGCTGGCTAGGAACAGATGCACCCAGCTGCTTTTAACCTTCGTTTTCTGTTGGAAGTGAGACAGGTTTAAGCTTGTACAGACAGAGCTCTGCCTAGCAAGCTGTGTCTGAACATTGAACATGGCTTCTCTTAGCAGGGCGCTAACACTGCATCCGCAGCCTGCGCTAATGAGCCGAAGTCGCATTGTGCAGTTTGCAGCAGCTTCGACATGAATGGCCTTGCTGCAATAACAAATTGTTGCCCGATCAGCCAGGCTGAAGTCACAGCAGCAGCTAAGGGGTGTGCTGCAATGCCTGTGGTCTCTGTAACTGGTGCGGTAATGGGGCACGCGGCTGCTTGTGGTTTAGAGGTGGGTAACGAGGCAGCCCCAGCCACCTAAGATCCAGTTACAAGTGTTTTGTAGGGTGCAAGGGGAAACGTTTGTGTAAATCAAGTACCCAGCGGCAGGGCATGTGTTCGGGATGGCATAGCCTTCCAAGGATGTCATCCAACACGTGCCACAGGTCCCATTGCCTCTGTGCCGGAGGCTGGCCCGTTGCTGCCCCGAGCCGCCCTGCCCGACTCCAGATGTGCTGTGGCTTATACAGGCTTAAACTGTATCAAGATTTGTCACTGGCAGGGTGCGTGTGCAACATGAGAAAAAAAAAAGAAAAATTTGTTCTGGTTGGAGAAATTGAGCTTGTCCAAAATGCCTCAGAGTAGGATGTGCATATGGAGAATTACTTAATTCTCCTTGTTTTGCAACATGTTTTCCCAGCTGTTGAAGGCTGCTGTCTCGTTCAGCTTCCTGACAGCAGTGCAAACATTTTGAAGGTCCCATGGCCCCGTCTCATTCTCTGTTCAGCCGTTCTTATTGCTGTTCTCTGTGCTTTTCCTTGAGGCTGTTTATTTGGATTTGATTGTTACTTAGAGCCCAGACACGCAGCTTTAGGGGAGAGCAGAGCCGACGGTGGCACTTGCTTATGGCAGACCCCTGTAACTTCTTTCTGGTGGCAACGACCTCAAGGCCCAGCTCCCGTGTTTAAATTCCTGTCCTCCTGTGTCTGTGTGAATGCAGCTGAGCAGACTTGGTTGGGACGAGGAAGAAAGGGAAACGCGGTGTGGAGGACCTTGCTACACGTCTTACTGAGGGGGCTGGGAACGGAGCACTCGTGCCTGAGTACGCTTTTGTCCAGAGGCCCGTCTCCCGCTTGTCCAGGCCGTCAGAAAGGTCTAAACCATCTTTTCTTGGCTCTGCCATCTTCCTCCTCAGCACTGCATCCCTGAAACCTCCTGCTCCGGAGCTCTCAGCTTTCTCCTCCAGCTCAGTGCCTTCACTGCACCCTTTTTAAATGAGCGGCGCGCATGGGAACACGCTCCCCTCTCTTACTGCCAAAACCACAACAAAT